GAGGGACAGGGGAGGCTGGAAACAAGGGGGGGGGGGGGGGTTGTATTACTGACATTCAGATATGTAATATTATCTTTTAAGTTGTAGATGGCAGTATAGTGCAATGTTAGTCTCTAGTGCTTACTTGTCTATCTGTTTTATCTGTTGTGTTTCCTGCTCGATGCTGTATACACACATGTAATGTCCTTATAAGCAAGTAAAACTTATTTCAGCATCCCTCAAGATCTCAGTGCTTCATCTAAACACATAACCAACAAGTTAAGAGCCCAGCCACTAAACAGAACACTGCAAGTCAACAAGAGTTGCACCCAAGCTACTGAAAGATGGCAAGTAGTTCAGATATGGAGTTTGAAACTCCATACAGACCCAGTAATGTATCCGCGGAGGAATGGGACAAGAAGAACAGGCAAGCAAAAGCAATTAAGTCCATTAGTGGAAGACGACCAGCTCATCCACATCAGCAAAGAAAATACAGCTAAAGGTATGTGGACTGGATTACAAAAGCTGCATGAGCGTTCAAACCTAAACAGAAAACTATATCTGCTATGTCAGTTATATAAGATGAGGCTAGAAAAGGGCCAGGAAATGTGTGCACATGTGAATGCCATGTTGGAAATTGTATAACGGCTACATGCAATAGGAAAGGTAATTAAAGATAAACACACAGTGGTATTACTGCTATGCAGTCTTCCAAAGTCATACTCTTATTAACGCTCTAAAAACCAGACCCGAGCAGGAACTCACAACATAATACGCCAAAGGAAAATTAATCGATGAATATGACAAAAGAAAAGTAAATACGCACAATGAAAAAAACAAGAACGCGCTTAAGGTGTATGAAAACGCAAAACAAAGAAAGCAGAGCGTGTTTTTGCTGTAAAAAGACTGGTCACCTGAAAAAGGACTGTTCAATCTGGAAAGCTGAGCAGTGAAAGCAAGAGCCACCCACAAGAAAAAGAGCTAAGGCAGCGACTCATATTCCACACAACAAATGTATCCGACTAGGGCACAGAAAAGCCATAAAGGATATTATTTAGAGAGGCTTATCAGAAGATATAACACTACTGTCCTGCCAAATGCTCATGGCATGCAAATGCTGTATTGGAAGCAAAGGCCACACGTATCCCACTTCCACAGGCCACCCAAAGAAAGACCACCCAACCCATGGAGCTCATACACAGATATTTGTGCGGACCAATGAAAACTCACACATCAGGCAGGAACAGATATATACTGACTTTATACTGACTTTCATTGTTGAGATATTGTTGAGATATTCCAGGTACACAACAACTTATATGATAAAGTACAAGGAAGAAACATCAGAAAACCTTTGAGTTTGTCGCCATGTCCACCAAAAAATTCCAACGAAACCAGGAATTATATGCACTGACAATGGAGGGGAATACAACAGTAAGGAAGTGGAATCATATCTGAAGAAACAAGGTATAGTACACCAGACAACCACACCATATGCTCCTGAACAAAATGGTGTAGCAGAACGGAAAAGTTGCACTCTTCTAGAAATGGCTAGATGCATGCTGTCAGACGCCAACCTACCTAAGAAATACTGGGGAGAAGCAATCATGACTGCAATATACCTACAGAACAGACTACCATCAAAAGCTGTTGAAAGCACCCCATTTAAAATGTGGCATGGATCGAAGCCTAGCCTAAGGCACATTAGAGTGTTTGAATGTAAAGCCTATGCATATATCCCCAAAGAGAAGCTATCCAAGTTGGAGAACACAGCCATTGAGTTATTTTGGCGGGCTATAGTGATCAAAGTAAGGGATATAGAATCCTCAACCCAAAGACTGACAAAGTGGCAATAAGCCACATCGTTTATTTATTATCCCGGTAACCGCTAATGTCACTTCCTCCTGTCCTGGGCCCTACATGCTTCACGCTGCTCCCCTCACCTTGTTCCGGGCGCAGCGTGAAGCCTCATCCAGGCGGGCAGCAGCCAATGAGTGGGAGCGGTGTAATCCCCACCCCCTCATCACACAGAACTGCTGCCCAGTGCCGAATAGAGCTGCTGCGGACACGAAGGGGGAGACAGGGAGCTGGAAGCATGAAGGAAGGTGACATGGGGTCCGGGAGCGGAAAGCTGGAGACATGAAGGGGGAGATAATGGGGAGCTGGGGACATGAAAGAGGAGAGTGTTTTTTTTTCCTTGTCTAAATTTTGTTTAAAAATAAATAAATATATAATTTGTTTCTTCTTGGGGGGGGGCCTTCATGGATTCTTGCATCGGGGCCCTGAGGTCACTAGTTACGCCACTGCACAGACAGATACACAGAGGGAGCATGGAGCTGGCTTCCTTTCCAATCAGGGCAGCTTCCTGTTAGGTCAGGAAGCCAGGCTGTCTATGAACAAGTGAAGCCGGCTTCCTAGCCAATCAGGAAGCCGGGGACGGGTCATGAAATGCCGACAGGCTTCCTAATTGGCTAGGAAGCAGGTTCCA